GGGGGGGGGGGGGGAGAGCAGCACATACCATCCTGCATAACACAAAATGACCACTCCACTCCACGCGTGTGAACTGGTAAATCAATTATCCAATTTATCCCATCCTTGCTGAAGAAAAATCCCATATGCTACATAATCTCAAGCTCGCTCCGTAGCAAGCTCTCATCTCTTTCTCTTTGTCTTTTCCCTTCATCATCATGCCTTCCACAGAGCCCACAACTTGTGCATTTGCAACTCTGCACATTTATATAACTGACTATTTCCTGCTTGTTGTCATCGTTCTAACTCGTAACTTCTAATTAATTACCCATCTCCCGCTGTAAGTGACGCTCGGCTCACATCGACCGGCGTCCAAGCCCCCACAAAGCCACGACTGCCACAGACGGAGAACCTCCAGCACTTGTCACCGCCCAGCAAGATAAAAACATTGTCCTGGTTTTCCACTCTGTGTGCGGATCTGCTTGGCATTGACTCACCTGTTCCCCTTCAGGGTCTCCTCCAGGGCTGTCCACGACCGGCCTTGGCCACCATCGGCCAGTAGGCCCGGCCCGCAGGCCCGAAACCCTTCAGCAACACTCCTCCCCTCCACTCCGGTGGCATACGAGACCTGGCGGCGGTCGCTTGCGAGAACTGAGCTCCTGCCTGAGCCTGAGCTGGCTGAGAGGGCTTCCTTCTGCTACCAATGGCACCACCAACAAGAGCAAAACCTGCACAGGGTGGTGGGGACTTTTCTTTCCCCATTCCTTGTCTTCATTCATCCCGCATCTTTTTTCACAAAGAAAGACAGAGAAGAACCTGGCCTCCAAATCCCACCATATCCTTTTAGCACGGCACCCACCTTCACGCCATACACTCTCCAAAAAAGGAATGCTGGTTCCACTGCCACCATCATACCCTTTCCTTTGGTCCCTCGCTCGTAAGTACACCTGGTTCTCCTCTTCCGGAGTAGGTGCAATCCCTATTTGACCCCTCCCCTCAACCCTCTACCCCCCTCCCCCCCCCCCAAAAACCCAACCCAACCCCCAAGTCACCCTGCCCAAGCATCCAAATTGGCATGGTAGTGTTGGGTTCGTCTCTGGCCACCCCATATCACTGCAAACCTGGAGTTCCCCCGTCGCTGTCCATTTGCAGATGATGTCAACAAAAAGGCACAGCAGGACCGAGCCCAACAAGCCCTCTTAGAAAAGAGTCGTATCCATCTGGCTCCAGCACTGATCAGTCTGCCCCTTCCCCTGGTGGGTCAAGCGTCGGCAATCAATCACCGTACCCACGGCATCATATGGCGTGGTATCTCTCCTTTCCCACTGATGCCCTTGCATATATGACCTTCTGTTGAAGTAGACCCCCATCTGAGCTCTACATCCTGTACGCATGTTGTCCCTCCAATATCGGAATCACGTCCTGCACCTGCCACATGACCTCCAGTGGCCCCCCGATACACACGCCGCGAAACACAAAGACACCTCCTCGCAAAGCCCCTTCCCCCCCCGTGCTGACAATGAATGTGATGCCACCATCATCACAAGAGAAGCACTTGCAACTCAAAGATCAGTTTAAGCTGTCATAAGCCATGACGACTGCCAAAATTCCTAAACCCCAATGATGCGTTATGTGTGTGCCTATTTTACCACACCGTCTTTGACAAATGGCGCAGTTACGCCGCCGCTTCAACATGGCGCTTGACCGGCCGTTCAATAGGGCCAGCAGGAGGGGGACCGTGAAACCCACCCCAGACCCGATCATCAACACACCAGTGGAAAGGAACAGGACCTGCAGGTGTAGCCCAGCTGTTTTCTCGCCAATGGCTGCATATCTTGCAGAACTTGATGCTGTCGCCGCGAAGACTGCCACTGCTCATCTTACTGACCTTTTGGACCGACTCGTTGTTGGCAGTGCCCGCCGCCATAATACCGCTCAGGACTCCGTTCAAATCTAGCGCCATGATTTGCGCCGGCATACCAGTGTGCCCCCCCTGCACCAACGGCGACTGTAACGACACTCTCATTGGGTAATGCCGTACATTATTCAACGTCGATGACATTGAAGCCTGGGTGGCAGCGGCCGCGAACGCGGCGGCGAACCTTGCAGCTGCAGCCGTTTGGCCGACAGCGGAGGAGGAGGAGGAGATCAGAGATCCCGCAGCAGAGGCGGTTGACGATAGGGGTCTCAACAAGGGCGTCGAGACGGGCGACCCAGTCGCGTGAGCACCCGAATTTGTCACCTGAGCGGACAGCGCAGCGGCACTCGAATGTCCCGATGAACCAGAAATCATGTTGTTCCTCTCAAGGACAGAACCTACAGGCACAGATTGACGAGAGAGACCTGCGATCCGCAACGCCGACGAGTTGGTCAGAAGAAACTGCTGCTGCTGCTGCTGCTGAGACTGGTCCATCGACTCCAGCGGTTGTGCGAGATGAACGTGGGTGTGAGGCTGTGGTGGTGGGGATCCGTGGACCTGTTGTTGTCCTGCCAGGGACGGCAGTTGCTCGAAATGCATTTGTCGTGCAGCATGATACTGCTGCAACCTCTCCAGCATCCTCTCATTGGCATCACTGTCGAGTCGTTCCTGCATCTGCTGCTCCAACTGCTGCTGCTGCTGCTGCTGCTGCTGCTGCTGCTGAATCTGTCGTTCGATCTCCTGCCCTCTTTGCTGCTGCTGCAGCACCTGCAGCTGAGCTTGCACCTGGAGGTGATGATTCACCTGCTGTTGGAGAGTGTTAGCATCTGCTTTGCTAAGAACTTGCTGCTGCTGCAAGCTGCTTCCGCCCCCACTTGCCGCTGTCCGCGGCAATATCCCCAAACTACCTTGCCACCTTGATTGCACCATGGACATCAAGGACCCATTGATTTGATGCTGAAGCTGTTGCTGGTCCTGCATTTGGGTTGGCGTCTGCTGTTGCTGCTGTTGCTGCTGTTGCTGCTGTTGCTGCTGCTGCTGCTGCTGCAGCTGATGTAGTTGTCGTCCAGTTGCCTGGGGGTCGCGTCTCATGAGCGTCCGTTCCACTCTCCCACCTTCAGCCATCCCAGTCGCCAAGGACACTCTCTCCAAACCATTCATTTGTGTCCGTGCGAGTGTCGCTGTCTGCTGCAGAGACTGAAGTTGTTGTTGAAGTTGCTGCTGCTGCTGCTGCTGTTGTTGTTGTTGTTGTTGCTGTTGCTGTTGTTGCAGTTGTTGATGGTGGTGGTGAAGGGATGGACTGGAGAGGCCAGGGGATGGCATCATAGAGGGGAAGAGCACTCTCGATGAAGAGGGTTGCACCGACACCGAAAGGGGCGAGGATAGGGAAGGGGAACCAGCAGAGGGCACAGGTGAAGGTGAAGAAGATGGGGATGGAATTGAGGGGACCAAGAAAGACGACGGCGGTACTTGGGGTGAGGAGGAGGCTGCCAAGGACAACTGCAAAGAGATTGAAGTCAGAGGGGAAAAGGAGGGGTGGTGGGAAGCAGGATGAGCAGGAGACAAAGGGTGAGAGAGGCGAGGAGGGGATTGAGAATGAGGCGGCGAGGGGGAACGCGGAGAGGAGTATGAAGAAGGGGAAGGGGGCGTACTGCTCATCGATGAGGGGACTGGGATCGGAGCACTTCCAGCAGAGGGGCTTGAGGCACCTGCAGAACACAAGGTCGATGATCTCTGTTGGTTTAGAAGAGCAAGTTCAGCCGATGGTGGCCTATCAGCATCACGACACGCCTGGGAAGGGGGAGGCGGAGGAGAATCCCCTCGATTAGAAGAGGTGTCATCGTCCTCCTCGCCATTCTCTGGCTCTGCAGATTTCTTCCTCACACACTTCCTCTCTCTTTTAGACTTCTTCAGGGTGATCAGGAAGCGAGCATCCTTCTCCTTGCTCGGTTTGTGTTGATTCAAGATGATGTTAAAGTTTGTGTTCTCATTGATTGGCAGCTTCAGTCTCTTCTCCACATCACCCACGGTTCGCCTGTAACAAAACACGGCGGACACGCTACTCGCTGGCTGCCCTGTCTTCTGGCTCACCATTGCCTGAAACCGCTTGAAGGTTAGAACGGAATGCACACCGATAACCCCGCGGTCATGCTCCTCTTCTCCATCATAGAAAACGACGGGATAAGGAGTCGCAAAACTCTCCATGGCCAAATTGGCCCCGACACTCCCGGACTAAGAATAAGATATCCAGTTCGGTTAAAACTCTGCGAATAGTAAACCGTCACACTGTCAATTGACTGATCGAAAGTTGGGGTGAAGGGAGCGAGGTGGAATGAGTTGGACAACAGCTGTGCGCGACAGCAAAGGCGTGTTTGTGCATGTGTGTATGTGTCTGTGTGTATTTTCACGAGCGGTGCGTGCACGTCTGTGTGCGTGTGTACACATCAACGAGCGAACAACCGAACAAGTACGATACGCACAATTTTAACCGCTGTCGCCAATCCCCTGTGTTCCCTCTCCAACCAGCGCAGCACCACCTAAACTCTGTGAGCTAGTGCGATGAATCAGATACGCTCCACTTACAGCAAGCAAACACATCCCCCGCTGAGCTGATGCTCTTTCCTGCTGTCTGCATGCAGAGGAAAACCAGCACCGGGGAGAGGCGGAGGGAGGGTCCAGGAGCAGACAGAGAAGAGGAGTAGCAGGGGGTAGGAACACCAGAACCATTGTGCCAATCCAGAGGCCAGCCAGCACCCACACAACCCAAACACCGCCCCACCGAACCGACCATGAGCCTCGTTAACACACTCAAAGCATCAACTGTTCTTTCCAATCAGTTTCTATCAAACACACTCTCCACGCAACAACAAAACCATACAAACGGATATACATAGCCATTACACCACCCCAAGCTTGCAAGATAGGATAGGCTTTGGAAGTTTGGATCCGACCACGTTGACCATGCACAATTACTGATTGACAGACAGGGCGCAAGAGCGAAACAAGAGGGGTAGACCAGGGAGGGGTATAGACTGAGGGTTCGACCTCCAACAGCAACAGAAGACTGCGCTACTCCCGAACACACTGGCCACGCTTCCACCTCAAGTTCCCTTCTATCATTTGAAAACAACACCTGTGAGTGACCTCTATCCAAGAACCGCAGGTAACCGTTTGCTGGGGAGGGGGGAGAGTGGGAGTGGGGGTGTGTGGGGGGGGGGGAGGCATGTGAGGTTGAGAGAGGAGGAGGAAGCCCTTGAAGACTTGGTGCATGCTAAGCGAACCAGAGTCTGACTCTACACAAGAAGACTCTGCCCAGAGGAATGGGATAGAACGGCTGCACAACCTGGATGGCCTAACCAAAAAGGTCGATACTCGAGGTTAACCAGAAAAGTATGTACTCTAGGTGAGAAAAGCCATACTGGTGTAAACACTTTGACGTCACTGCTGTCCACCCCATCCAGTTGACAGTAAGAGGACCTCTCTCTCTCTCTCTCTCTCTCTCTCTCTCTCTCTCTCTCTCTCCCTCTGTGTGTGACATCCTGTCTCTCTCTCTCTCTCTCTCTCTCTCTCTCTCTCTCTCTCTCTCTC